GCAGCCGGCCCCAGGGCCGTGAGGCTTCGCTGTGCCACCGGCCCTGGGGCCGGCTCCGGCTGGAGCCCGGCCAGAGCAAAGGCCTGGGTGCCAGGTGCCAGAGGAAAACCGGTGCCAGCAGCCAGGGGAAAGGAAAGCCTGTTGCATGAATCTCTTCGTGCAGCAGGCTTCTAGTATTTATATATTTACCTGTAATAAACATCAATTGCTATTTTCAATGTCCAACATATTTTGTTTCTCATGAATCCAATTTTGATGTCTTTTCCCCTAGTCCTAGCCACTCACATTCATAATCATGAAAATTCTTATTTTACCAAAAAATCACATTTATTTTCTTTTATATTTTCTTTTTGGGATGGATGTATAGGCTTCAGACCATAATTATATAACATGACTAGGAAATATAATGTAATTATACTTTATAATTTTAGTTTTTTATTCATGTACTTTTAATATATATGTGCAGATTTATGAGATATACTAGATGCCTGGTGCACAAAATTCGTGCACTGGAGGTGGGGGGGGTTGTTCCTCAGTCCAGCCTACACCCTCTCCAATCTGGGACCCCTTGGGACAGCAATCGGACATCCCTCTCATAATCCGGGACTGCTGGCTCCCAACTGCTCGCTTGCCTGCCTGCCTGATTGCCCCTAACCCAGTGGTTCTCAACCTTCCTAATGCCATGACCCTTTAATACAGTTCCTCATGTTGAGGTGACCCCCAAACATAAAATTATTTTCGTTGCTACTTCATAACTGTAGTTTTGCTACTGTTATGAATCGTGATGTAAATATCTGATATGCAGGATGTATTTTCATTGTTACAAATTGAACATAATTAAGCATAGTGGTTAATCACAAAAACTATGTAATTATATATGTGTTTTCTGATGGTCTTAGGCAACCCCTGTGAAAGGGTCGTTCGTCCCCCAAAGGGGTTGCAACCCACAGGTTGAGAACTGCTGGGTTAGGGGCTTCAGAGGAACTTAATTTTTATTTTTTTAATATATTTTTATTGATTTCAGAGAGGAAGGGAGAGGGAGAGAGAGATAGAAACATCAATGATGACAGAGAATCACTGATTGGCTGCCTCTTGCACGCCTCCTACTGGGGATCAAGTCCGCATATGCCCTTGACCGAATCAAACTCAGGACCCTTGAATCCACAGGCCGACGCTCTATCCACCGAGCCAAGCCGGCTAGGGCCAGAGGGACTCCTGCCAGCCATCTTGTGGCTGTGGGCGCTGCCATCTTTGAGGGCGGGGCAGCAATTAGCATATTCCCTCCTTATTTGCTGTGGGCACCGCCATCTTTATGACGGCGCGAGGGTCAATTAGCATATTTCTTCATTAGATAGGATAGAAAAACTCAACATAAACTGTGTACTCCAGTCCTACTAGTATTTTGGGAAGGAGTATAAATAATTATGGGGACAAAATAGTAAAACTTGATTTGTCTGAAATAAAAACATATGAGTCATTTATTATTATTTATTGGATTTTTTTTTGTAGGTGTTTCTGCAGATGATCACATGATGAAAGTAGAGACTGTTCACTGCAGTGCTTGTAGTGTGTATATCCCTGCTTTACATAGCTCAGTTCAGCAACACTTAAAGTCTCCTGATCATATCAAAGGGAAGCAGGTAAGTTTGCTTCTATCCTAACATCTATCCTAATGAAGTCTTTAAATCATTCATCAGCCCCTTATTGTTCTTTAAAGGCCATTGTGTACAATCCTAGTAATCTCACCTGTGAATTACTGTAAAGATAGCTAGAGAGAGGCAATATGTACAGTAGTTAGATTGTGGACTCTGGATCAAGACATTTTGGGTTTGAATTGTGGTTCAGTACATGCATGTAAATTAATTTTGTTTAACTTTATGTGTAAAGTGGGGATGGATGAATCATTTTACTTTTATGTGACTATTTAAAGATTAGGTTAATGAAAATATAAAAGGCACTTAAGTGCTTGGAACATAGTAGTCATTCAGGAAATTATAGCTGTTAATGAACTTCCTTTTTTAACTTTTTTTTAAAGTTGATACAAAATGATTGTGTGTGTGTGTGTGTATATGTGTGTTTTAGAACAAAAGGAAGGAATGATTTGATTATAACATTTTTCTGTAGTCAGGAAAAATGAAAGTAAAAGGGTTATCAGTTACTATCTATTCTTATTCTTACATTTTTAAGTAGAATTTACTAAAGTATTCTAGAAGAGTTTTCTTTTTCTTAGCATATTTTTCTTCTATTGGTTGCTTTTATTCAGTCAAATTTATTTCAAGTAAAAATATTTATATTGTGCAAAATTTGAAAGGCAAATTTAAAAATGTAAATGTTAAAGACAAGTTTTTTTCTTAAATTGATTTGAGAGAGAGAAAGGGAGAGAGACAGTGAGACGGGGGTTGGGGAGAGAGGGAGAAAAACATCGATTTCTTGTTTCACTTATTTATGTATTTATTGGTTGATTGTTATATGCTCTAACTGGGCATCAAACCCCACAAACTTGGCATATTGAATGATACTTTACCCACCTTAGCTACCTGGCCACGGCTAAAGACTTACGTTTTAAATAGAACATGCTTGGTTCTCAAATTGATATTTTGTATTAAAGGTGAGTCTCATTTAACTCAAGATTTTTCAGACTTTTTTTTAGCTACTTTGAGCACATATAATATTTTAAAAATCTTTGTCTTTCTCTTTTGTTATTCCTTTGGCACTTTTTTGGAAACTATAGACATTGCATAAATTACCTTTTCTTTCTTATGTAAAACTAGAGGCCCGGTGCACGAAATTCGTGCACTCAGAGTGGGGTGGGGGTCCCCCTCAGCCTGGCCTGCACCCTCTCGCAGTCCAGGAGCCCTTGGGGGATGTCTGACTGACAGCTTAGGCCAGGGCCTACCTAAGCTGTCAGTTGGACATCCTTAGCGCTGCTGTGGAGGTGGGAGAGGCTCCCGCCACTGTCGCTGCACTCACCAGCCTTGAGCCTGGCTTCTGGCTAAGCGGCACTCCCCCTGTGGGAGTGCACTGACCACCAGGGGGCAGCTCTTGTGTTGAGCGTCTGCCCCCCTGGTGGTCAGTGCACCTCATAGCGTCTGGTCGTTCTGTTGTTCAGTCAATTTGCATTTTAGCCTTTTATTATATACTAGAGGCCCGGTGCACAAAAATTTGTGCACTTGGTGGGGGGGGGGTCCCCCAGCCCGGCCTTGCCCTCTCGCAGTCTGGGACCCCTCAGGAGATAACGACCTGCTGGCTTAGGCCTTCTCCCGGGTGGCAGAGCGCAGGCCCAATCCCTAAGTGCAGCCCCTGGTCAGGCTCAGAGCAGGGCCGATTAGGGGGTTGGGGCGCCGCCCCATCATGCACAGAGCAGGGCGGATCGGGAGGTTGCGATGCCACCCTCAGTCACGCTCAGAGTAGGGCTGATTGGGGGGTTGGGTCACCGCCCCCTATCACACTCAAGGCAGGGTCGATGGGGAGGTT